AGGAAAAAGACCCCTGGATTTGACCAAACAATTTACCCTGAAAAAGGAAACTCAAAGGACAAATGAAAGATCCATCTACCCCAGTGGGGCAGTGGGTTAAAGCGCTGCGCTGTTGAAATTGCTGACTGAAAGGTTGCAGGTTCGAATCCGGGGAGCAGCATGAGCTCCAGCTGTTAGCCCCAGCTTCTGCCAACCTAACAGTTAGAAAACATGCAAACGTGAGAAGATCAATAGGTACCACTCTGGCAGGAAGGTAATGATATTCAGTCATGCCAGCCACATGACCTTGGAGGTGTCTATGGACAACACCAGTTCTTCGGCTTAGAAATGAAGATGAGCACCAACCCCCAGAGTTGGACACGACCAGACTTAATGTCATGAGAAAACCTTTACCTTTACCTTATTTTCATTTGGGATAGTTAGAGCCCACTATGACCCCAACCTGACTACCAAACTGCTCCCAAGGAGTGTAAGAGAGGAGAAGAAGCACCTCAAGCCAGAGGGAGAGGCAGGTAATATCACAGGGAATACCATTGCTTTAACTATGCGGATCTTTGTTGCCAGTGTGATTTGTCTACTCTTCCATATTTTATCTAGATTGGTAAACTGGTAAACTGGCTGGGATTTCTGGGAGTTGTAGGTCAAAACACCTGGGGGCCCACAGGTTGAGAACCACTGAACTCTCCTTCAAAGAAGTAAATGTCTCCTAATTTCCTGGCTGCAGTCTGCATCTGCAGTAATTTTTGTGGCTAGAAATATGAAGTCTGTCACTGCCTCCACGTTTTCTCCCTCTATTTGCCAGTTATCAATCAGTCTGGTTGCCATAATATTGGTTTTTTGTAATGTTTATCTGAAACCCCACCAAGTGGTATCATCTGCATACCTAAGGTTGTTAATGTTTCTTCCAGCAATTTTAACTGCGGCCTTGGATTCGTTAAGCCCCGCACGTTGCATGATGTGTTCTGCATATAAGTTGAATAGATTGGGCGAGAGTATACAACCCCGCCATACTCCTTTCCCACTCTTGAATCAGTCTGTTGTTCCATGGTCTGTTCTTGCAGTTGCTAATTGGTCATTATAGATTCCTCAGAAGGCAGACAAGTTGTTGTTGTTGTTGTCGTAATAATGATGATGATGCCCTGGAATAGCAAAGCAGCCAGAGGTAATTTTTTTCAGGATACATCTTAAACACACATATAGGTTTTGTCATCTTAGTAGCATCTGAATATGTGACTTTTTTCCATGGCATTTGCAAACAATGTTTGTTTGGGGGTGTTGTATGGTTTCTGGGCTGCATGGTTGTATACTAGCAGCATTTTCTCCTCATGCTACACCTGCATTTGCGGCTGACATCATCAGAGGATCTTCTGAAGATGCCAGCCACAGATGCAGGCAAAACATCAGGAGAAAATGCTGCTGGAACACAGCCATACAACTCGGAAAATACACAACACCCCAGTGATTCTGGCTGTGAAAGCCATTGACAATGTTTGCTTTATCTGAATCATTTAAGTTCTGTTAAATCTTCAATGTTCTACAGATTGGTCTCCTCATTTGACAAGGTGCTAGGGTTTTCTTTAAATAGTGTGAGTCTTTATTGCATTATGATTTGGCTTTCAATGCTACCGGAGCATCCTGTGAAATTCTAGTTTTCTCCAGATCCTCTTCCTAAACTGCAAAAAGGTCAGTGTTACAATTGTGTCGTATGGAAGGGCCATCCACTCCAGCCCCCCCCCCCCCCCCCCCCCCCCCCCCCCCCCCCCCCCCCCCCCCCCCCCCCGGCCATGCAGGGAAAAGCACAAAGCACCCCTGGCAGATGGCCATCCAGCCTCTGTTCAAAAGCTTCCAAGGTAAGAGCTTCTACCAGCCTCTGAGGCAGAGAGTTCCACTGATGAACAGCTCTTATGGTCAGGAAGTTCTCCCTAATGTTCAGGTAGAATCCATGGCTTCATTGAGTCCTAGAAAACAAGCCTGCTCCCTCTTCCTTATGACGTCTTTTCAGATACTGAAACATAGCTCTTATGTTTCCTCTCAACTTTTTCTTCTGCCGGCTAAACATACCCAGCTCTTTCAGCCTCTCCCACCACCTTGTCTTTTTTTCTCTTTCTCTTTGGTGGTTATTATATGCTTCCAAGACATTTCTGACTGATGGTGAATCTATCACAGGCTTTTCTGAGGCTGAGAGTGTGTGACTTCCCCACTGGGTTTCCATGGCTGAGTCAGGGGCTCAACCTTGGACTTCAGAGTTGTAATCAAATGCTCCAACTAATAAATATGACTGAGTGAACATGAAAGGCACTGCAGACTAATTCAGCCAGAGAAGTCAGCCATAGCAGAGCACCTGATGAACCAACCTGGAAACAGCATATTATTTGAGAACACAGAAATGCTGGACCACTCTAACCACTATCATGTCAGACTACACAGAGAAGCTATTGAAATCCATAAGCATGTGGACAATTTCAACAGAAAGGAAGAAACCATGAAAAGGAACACAATCTGGCTACCAGTATTAGGTAGATAGGTTTCTCCTGACATTAAGTCCAGTAGTGTCCAACTATGGGGGTTGGTGCTCATCTCCATTTCTGAGGCAAAGAGCTGTAGACACCTCCAGGGTCATGTGGTTGGCATGACTACACGGAGTGGTGTTACCTTCCTGCCGGAGCAGTACCTATTGATCTATTCACAGTTGCATGTTTTCGAACTGCTAGGTTGGCAAAAGCTGAAGCTAACAGCAGGAGCTCACCCCACTCCCCGAATTCGAACCTGCAACCTTTCCATCAGCAAATTTAGCAGCTCAGTGGTTTAACCCACTATGCCACCAGAGGTTCCAGTATTAAAAAAAACCTCTTTAAAAACAGTATTTAAAAACTCTAAAATCATGACAGTAAATAAACAATCACAAAACTGGGGGATTCCAGATATTAAACAATCAGGGCCAGCTAACACCTCCCAACAAAGGATTCCCTCAGGCAGGAAGCAGCCAGGCTTTAAAGCTGAAAGGTCATTTAATGCTAATCAAGCTGGCCAATTGCAACATTCACACCTGCCTCAAGAAGACAAGTGTTTTCTCTTACCCTGGACGTTTCACAGATTTATAAGCCTCACTTGCCTGGCTTCCAACAGAACTCATAACCTCTGAGGATGCCTGCCATAGATGTTCCAGAGAATGCTTCTGGAACGTGGTCATAAAGCAGGCATGGGCAAACTTGGGCCCTCCAGCTGTTAGGAATTGTGGGAGTTGAAGTTGAAAACACCCGGAGGGCACAAGATTGCCCATGACTGATATACAGCCTGGAAAACTCGCCTTACCATCCTTGGCCACAAGAATGCAACGGCAGGGCTTTTCTTTGATTGCGATGAAGGCACTCTGCACATGCTCAGAGGCAGCAGTGATGGGGATGAGAAGGAAATCACTCCAAAAGAGTGGGAAGTGAGAGAGAGGAAAAGGAAAGCTGTGTGGAGGAGGTGGAGATGGGACTGAAGGGGGGCAGAAAGTGGGAGAAATAAGGATGGGCAAGGTGAGATGTGCCTTTAAGTGGCACCCTCACCTTGCCATCCTTTGCCACAAGAATGCAACTGTGGGGCTTTTCTTTGATTGTGACAGAGGCACTCTGCACATGCCCAGAGGAGCAGCGATGGGGATGAGGAGGAATACACCCCGAAAGAGTGGGGAGTGACAGAGAGGAAAACTTGGGAAAGATGAGTGGAGGAGGTGGAGATGGGATTCAAGGGGGCAGAAAGGGGGAGAAATAAAGATGGGCAAGGTGAGAGGTGCCTTCAGGTGGCACCCAAAGGCCTGCCTAACAGAGAGACTAATGAAGAGAAGGCCAAAGAAGGGAGGGGAATGGGTGGGAGTCTCTTTCCCTCCCATCTAAGGTGACACCAGAGGAAAAACCATCAAATATACAACTTTTATTTGATTGCAACGAAGGCACTCTGCACATGCTCAGAGGCAGCAGCGATGCGGGTGAGAAGGAAATGGCTGAAAAGAGTGGGAAGTGAGAGAGAGGAAAGGGAAAGCTGCATGGAGGAGGTGGAGATGGGATTGAAGGGGGGCAGAAAGGGGGAGAAATAAGGATAGTGAAGGTGAGAGGTGCCTTCAGGTGGCACCCTCAGCCTGCCATTCTTTGCCACAAGAATGCAACTGCGGGGCTTTTCTTTGATTGCTACAGAGGCACTCTGCACATGCTCAGAGGCAGCAGCTGTGGAGATGAGAAGGAATACAATTTGAAAGAGAAGTGAGAGAGAGGAAAGGGAAAGCTGCGTGGAGGAGGTGGAGATGGGATTGAAGGGGGAGGCAGAAAGGGGGAAAATTAGGATGGCAAGGTGAGAGGTGCCTTCAAGTGGCACCTCTCACCCTGCCATCCTTGGCCACAAAAATGCAACTGCAGGGCTTTTATTTGCTTGCGAGGGAAGAACTCTGCACATGCCCAAAGGAGCAGCGATGGGGAAGTGAGGGAGGGGAAAAGGAAAGCTGCGTGGAGAAGGTGGAGATGAGATTCAAGGGGAACAGAAAGGGAGAGAAATAGGGATGGGCAAGGTGAGAGGTGCCTTCAGGTGGCATCCTCTGCCACAAGAGTGCAACTGCGCGGCTGTTCTTTGCTTGCGAGGGATGCACTCGGCACATGCCCAGAGAGCAGGGATGGGGATGAGAAGGAACACACCCCCAGAGAGTGGGGCTGGGAGTCCGGCTCCGGGGCTGGTGGTGCTGAGGCACCCCAGGCAGAGGCTCCTTCTCCGGGCGCCTGCTCCCTCCGGCTGCCCGCAGCCTCATTAACCATTCTGCACAGCAGCAGGCAGCGCGTCCGCGGCTTCCCCGCCCTCGGTGTTTGACGGACGTGGGCTTGGCCTTATCCGGGAGCCGCTTCCACCGCGAAGCCCCGCCTCTCTCCTCCGCGGCCAATCCCAATCCACGAAGGGGGCGAGGTTTCGATTGTCTCCCGCCCTCCCTTTGGGCTTGTTGAGAGTTTATATCAAGAAATCCAGTTCAGAGAGAAAGCGAGAGCGGGAGAGCGGCAGGAGGAGGAGGAGGAGGAGGAGGAGGAGGAGGAAGAGGAAGAAGACGCGGAGAAGGACGCGGAGGAAGAAGGGAAAGGCTCACTCCGGGTCGGGAAAGGAGAGAGAGAGACAGAGAGAGAGAGAGAGAGCTCCCTCCGTCCCAACTCTGCGCGGCGTGGGAGAGCGGGGATTATGGATGCGCGGAGCGTGCCTTGCCCCGCTGCGGGCCGGGATGGCAGCTCGCCTTGAGTTGGCTCCGCACCTCAGTGCCAGGAGGAGCGGGGATCGGGATCCGAGCCTGATCCGGAGCAGGAGTGGAAAGGATGGCCAGCCCGGGCTTCTCGGGAGTCGCTCCTTCGCCGGCGCCGCTGCTTGTCTTGCTCTTGCTGAGCCGCCGGGAGGAAGACGCGTCCGCCTGATCCCCTCCGCCGCCTCCTCCTCGCCTCGCTTCTCTCTCTCGACGACGCTTTCGACCCCAAACGAGCGGCGTCTTGTGGGATGCCGGCGCCTCCTTCCCCGTCTCTTTCCTTTCCCGGCGGATGCGGCAGTCCTTCTTCCCGAGGCGGCGAGGTAAGTGCAAAGTTGCGAGGGGAGACAGGTCGGGGAGGAAGGGGAGAAGCTTTCCCCGAGAGACGAGGGCAAGGCGTGGAGCCGCGGGGCTGCCTTTCGCCTTCAAGGTTGTGGTCGGCGGCGTGGCAAGGAGCACGGACCGCGCCGCTTGCAATGCGGATGGGGAGGGAGGGAAGGAGGGAGGGAGGGGGAGGTGGGGGGGGGGGGAAGCAAAAAACCCTCTCTGATCCAGCCTGGCGCGCTTGGCTCCCAGGGCCCTTCCACACAGCTCCCTCAAGATCTGCTTTGAACTGGGATATATGGGAGTGTGGACTGTGGTCCCTTCCACACAGCCCCACATCCAGAATATCAAGGCAGGAAATTCCCCAAATCTGTTTTAAACTGGGATATATGTAAGTGTGGACTCCAGCTCCTTCCACACAGCCCTGTATCCCACAATATCAAGGCAGGAAATCCCACAAGATCTGCTTTGAACTGGGATATACAAAGTGTGGACTCTGGCCCTTTCCACACAGCCCCATATCCAGAATATCAAGGCAGGAAATCTCTCAAAATCTGCTTTAAACTGGGATATATGAAGTGTGGACTCTGGCCCCATCCACACAGCCCTATATCCCACAATATCAAGGCAGGAAATCCCACAAGATCTGCTTTGAACTGGGATATCCGAGTCCACACTGGATTTGTCTGCCTTGATATTCTGGGATATAGGGCTCTGTCCCTGGCACCCAATGGATGGGTGCCAGGGACAGAGAACCAAACCATCTTCCTGAACCAGACAACCATCATCATCACCATCATCATTATCAATAACAGAAAGGCATCCCTGTGCCTTCTCTTGGTAAACATCTGGCTTTGGAGTTGGTGCCAAACAGCACTGCCTCCTCCCCAGATTTCTCTCTCTCCCTCCCTCCCTCTCATTTGATTTTGAAGTTGAGCCTCATCCAGCCCAAGAGACCAGCTTCCTTGTTGACACCCGGCAACATCTGGAGGAGATGGCATTTGGGCTCCTGCCCTTAGCCTTGTGTTTATGCCTGGCTTTGGAAGCTCTCTCCGGAGACCTCTGGCTCTGAGGAGAGAAAAACGGCACACCATCTAGCAAGGTGATAGTCGCGGAGGGGAAAGTAGGACACACTATTATTTCCTCGCTCATCCGCTGTTGTCTTTTTACACCCAATGAGCATGGGGTGGAAGGAGAAAGCCCTGCTGTGCATGGTGTGCTGGACCAGTTTGGTCAACAGTATGTGTCTCTTTTCCTCCCATCGCTTTCTCTCTCTCTCCCTCTCTTGTTCCCTTCAATCTTGCAACTAGTTCATGTTGTTCACCCTGGTGTGCAAAGGCTAGTGGCAGTCGGCTGGAGAGAAATGGCTTGCGCACATCCAGGGAGGGTGAAAGAAGGGGGAAAGGGAGAAGGGAGAAGGGGAGGAAGGGAAGAAGAGGAAGCAGGTGGTGGGGGCTTCTCTCATGTATGAGCTGCTGCCGCGTGTGTGTGCCTGTCGTAGTCTCAGGAATGTGGCACAGGACTTGGCAGTTGCATCTGACGTCAGTTAAAATGAGACAATAACACTTGTTTTGTGTTTGCTGTGGTGATTGTGTTGACAGGGGCTGTCGGGACGCAGGAGCTGCGATGTGATGCCTCCAGCAGTCCTCTGCTTGCCAGCCTTGTGGGAGCCGTTCCGTCCTGAGAAGGAGCTATAATAAACCCATGATCATGGACCTGAGGGATTTTTACCTGTTGGCTGCCCTGATTGCCTGCTTGCGGCTGGATTCGGCCGTGGCCCAAGAGCTCATCTACACCATCCGCGAGGAGCTGCCTGAAAATGTCCCCATTGGGAACATACCAAAGGATCTGAACATTTCTCACATCAATGCTGCCACCGGCACAAGCGCCAGTTTGGTCTACAGATTGGTCTCCAAAGCAGGGGATGCCCCTTTGGTGAAGGTCTCCAGCACCACCGGGGAGATCTTCACCACTTCCAACCGGATTGACCGGGAGAGACTCTGTGCGGGAGCCGCCTATGCGGAAGAAAATGAGTGCTTCTTTGAGCTGGAGGTGGTGATTCTTCCCAATGACTTTTTCCGGCTGATCAAGATCAAAATCATTGTGAAAGATACCAATGATAATGCCCCAATGTTTCCATCTCCGGTCATCAACATCTCCATCCCGGAAAACACCCTCATCAACAGCCGCTTCCCCATCCCGTCGGCCACGGATCCAGACACCGGTTTCAACGGAGTGCAGCACTATGAACTCCTGAATGGGCAGAGTGTCTTTGGATTGGATATTGTGGAAACGCCAGAAGGCGAGAAGTGGCCTCAGCTGATTGTGCAGCAGAACTTAGACCGGGAGCAGAAAGATACCTATGTGATGAAAATCAAAGTGGAAGATGGAGGCACACCCCAGAAATCCAGCACTGCTATTCTCCAGGTCACAGTAAGTGATGTCAATGACAACCGGCCAGTTTTTAAAGAGAGTCAAGTAGAGGTTCACATCCCAGAGAATGCTCCTGTAGGAACCTCGGTCATTCAGCTTCATGCCACAGATGCAGATATAGGAAACAATGCTGATGTTAGATATATTTTTGGTGCCCAAGTTGCTCCTGCAACAAAAAGACTCTTTGCTTTAAATAACACAACTGGGCTGATAACAGTTCAAAGGGCCTTAGACCGAGAAGAGACTTCGATCCACAAGGTGACGGTGCTAGCCAGCGATGGCAGTTCAACACCTGCCCGGGCAACAGTCACTATCAATGTGACCGATGTGAATGATAACCCACCTAACATAGATCTCAGGTACATCATAAGTCCCATCAATGGTACCGTGTACCTGTCTGAGAAGGACCCTATCAATACCAAGATTGCTCTCATCACAGTCTCTGATAAGGACACTGATATAAATGGCAAAGTGATCTGTTTCATTGAGAGAGAGGTGCCATTTCACTTGAAGGCAGTGTATGACAACCAGTACTTGTTAGAGACCTCTTCCTTGCTGGACTATGAGGGCACCAAAGAATTCACCTTTAAAATAGTGGCCTCTGATTCTGGCAAGCCCAGTTTGAACCAGACCGCTCTAGTAAGAGTTAAGCTGGAGGATGAGAATGACAACCCTCCCATTTTCAGCCAGCCTGTAATTGAGCTGTCGGTTTCAGAAAACAACCGGCGTGGTCTGTACTTAACCACTATTAGTGCCACTGATGAGGACAGTGGGAAAAATGCAGACATTGTTTATCAGCTTGGCCCCAATGCCTCCTTTTTTGATCTGGATCGAAAGACTGGGGTTTTGACAGCTTCCCGGGTCTTTGACCGTGAGGAACAGGAGCGGTTTATTTTCACTGTTACAGCCCGAGACAACGGCACCCCTCCCCTGCAGAGTCAAGCTGCTGTGATAGTTACGGTGCTGGATGAAAATGATAACAGCCCCAAATTTACTCATAACCACTTTCAGTTCTTTGTGTCAGAGAACCTACCAAAGTATAGCACTGTAGGTGTGATCACGGTGACAGATGCTGATGCAGGAGAGAATAAAGCTGTGACTCTTTCCATCCTGAATGACAATGACAACTTTGTTCTTGACCCTTACTCTGGAGTTATAAAGTCCAATGTTTCTTTTGACCGTGAGCAGCAGAGTTCCTACACCTTTGATGTCAAGGCTGTTGATGGAGGACAACCGTCCCGTTCATCTACTGCAAAAGTCACCATAAATGTCATGGATGTTAATGACAATAGCCCCGTAGTCATCTACCCACCATCTAATACTTCTTTCAAGTTGGTTCCTCTCTCTGCTATCCCTGGCTCTGTAGTGGCTGAAGTATTTGCTGTTGACATTGACACGGGGATGAATGCTGAGCTTAAATATACAATCGTAAGTGGAAACAACAAAGGATTGTTCCGTATTGATCCAGTGACAGGTAACATTACCCTGGAAGAGAAACCTTCTCCTACTGATGTGGGGCTGCATCGATTAGTTGTCAATATTAGTGACCTAGGTTATCCTAAATCCCTGCACACTCTTGTCCTTGTCTTCTTGTATGTCAACGACACAGCCGGGAATGCCTCTTACATTTATGACTTGATCCGCAGGACTATGGAAACACCCTTGGACAGGAACATTGGGGACAGCAGCCAGCCCTATCAAAATGAGGACTACCTTACCATCATGATTGCTATTGTGGCAGGTGCCATGGTGGTCATTGTGGTCATCTTTGTCACTGTCCTGGTCCGCTGCCGCCATGCTTCCAGGTTCAAAGCAGCTCAGAGGAGCAAACAAGGGGCTGAGTGGATGTCTCCCAACCAGGAGAACAAACAGAACAAGAAGAAGAAGCGGAAGAAACGGAAGTCTCCCAAGAGTTCCCTGTTGAATTTTGTTACCATTGAGGAATCCAAACCCGAGGATGCAGTTCACGAACCTATCAACGGGACCATTAGCCTTCCAGCTGAGCTGGAGGAGCAAAGTATAGGAAGATTTGACTGGGGCCCTGCACCGCCCACCACCTTTAAGCCTAACAGCCCTGATCTTGCTAAGCATTATAAATCTGCCTCTCCACAGTCTGCTTTCCATCTTAAGCCTGACACTCCGGTCTCGGTGAAAAAGCATCATGTTATTCAGGAACTCCCCTTGGACAACACCTTTGTTGGGGGTTGTGATACCCTTTCCAAACGCTCTTCCACTAGTTCAGACCACTTCAGTGCCTCAGAGTGCAGTTCCCAAGGAGGCTTCAAGACAAAGGGCCCCTTGCACACCAGACAGGTAAACGAGCACTTTTACTGGTCTATAAGTACTGCATACAAGTGCCCACTCAACCAGTATTAAAGTGCCAGGATGTCTTTTCTTTCACTGTAATTTTAGCTTAGTTATACTACGCATAGGGAAAGGTGGGATGCTGTGAAAGGGTGGGAACCTGTCCCTTTACTGTCTCTGGGGCAAGACTATGCATTTGTAGAATGAAGGTGATGGTGGTCCAAAGTGGCAAGAAAAGAAAGAGCTACATGCACACACTCATGCACAGGTACATTTACTCTCTCACGCACATACTTGCACACATACACCTACATGTATGTGTGTGAAATCTGCCAGAACACACCAGCTTAGAGGTTTGACTGGAGAAGAAGTGGAAAAATCCATCTGCCAAATTCATGTCAAAGGGGAAAGAAACTGACTGTTTTCAGGATTAAATGTGTTAACTTAAGAAGAGTGGAAGTTTCACATGAGGCTGGCTTAAGCATGCTTTGTTTTTCCTCCCCATTTTTGGTTCAAACTGATCTGGAACATTTTTTTTTAAGTTACTGTTGTTCGGAGGGTTTTTTCCCTCTTTTTGGTCCTCACCGAGGGTCCAAGATTGTGTTGCACCGTGTTTGTTGGGCAGGATATAACTAAGCTATCAGGAAGTCTTCCTCTGTTTTGACTTACAATTATTTGTTGTAAAGTTGTGTGTCCATTAGAGAAAAAGGTTGTGTTCTTTCCCCCTGCTTTGCGTGCGTGCGTTTCTTACAAAAATGGCCAAAGTACACTTTGAAACGGAATGCATTTCTCTTGAATAATAAACAAATTATGCAGAAAACAAATGCCACCATCCTGTAAATATGTTCTCATATTTCGTAAGTGTATAAGTGATCTGTCATAACTCATTTTAAAGCTGTGAAATATGCCATACAAAGAAGGGGCAGGAGGTTGGGAAATCTCATATTTCACCCCAATAATGGCACTAGGGGTTTTGGGGCTTATTGGGGTTCTTTTTTTTCTTTTTAGGTCAAATAATTCCTTGCTAATAAAGATTTAAATGTGGTGCTGTCTAATTCATTTCACTGGTGCTTGTCTTTTGCCACTAAATTAGAATGTCAGATTGAGCCTGTAGATGGCACTAAGGTACTACGTGGCTTCGGCTGGCTGGCTGCCAATCCTGCAGTAGATAAGAACTGGGGGGAGGGACAGTTCAAACCGGTACTAAAGCCAAAGAAACCTTTTATTTAATGACAGTCGCACTGAAGCGACCAGTGGTTAAGCCAGCGTGTTTTGCTGTAGCTCTATAGCACTTAATTTCCATTGCACCAGTTGCCTAAGGCGCGAGCTACCAAGCACATACATTGTTGTTGACATTATATTCTCCAGAGTTATGGTGGATGGTTTGGGTTGATCACAAGGTCCAACAGTCAGGGAAGAGGGCAAAAAACCCCTGTAGGTTTGTGCCACTAGAAATGGATAGTGTCCATTCTCCAGCATGAGTCCTTTCCCAAGCTTTATGTTATGTTTCTCAAAATGGCATCTTGACTTTTTTGACATATCTCTGTTAACAAGGCATTGCATTTAAAGCCCACCTTTGGAATAAATTGGTTAAAAAAACATTTTTTTAAAAAATTCCTCATACCCAGGGCTATCTCTCAAATATATGTTGAAGTTATGGTGCACTCCAAGTAATGTCTGTAGTCATTTGTCTATTTCTGTTCAGACACCTTTAAAAACACTTCCAGTCACTAAGCCTCTGTGTAACCAACAGAACCTGAAATTTGAGGATGTTCACTTTCATCTTACTCTATATTTGTTACAGAGATATGCAGTGTTGTTTTGATATTAAATGAATTTGTTCCACTTTAGTTCTCATTTCCTGGGCTCCGTTACAAGAATGGGTCTTAACTTCTTTGAGGAGTCAAATGGGGATTAAAATCACAAATACAAAACAGTTTACCTGGCAGAGCATGTAAGCACCACTCAAGAGGCTTGACAGTTCAGGGTGGGGAAACATAAAAAAGAGAGGCAACATTAGTCTTTTGTATCATCTTCATTACTGCCTTTTCTTTAAAGTTTTAAGAACTTTTCACATTGGGTTTTTATGCAAACGTATTTTGATTGAATTGGAATTTACCAATGAATAAAATCCAAAATAATTCAGATGGGGTTGTTAATAGTATAAACATTATCTCATAAACATGGTCCAAATCCGAAGCAGGGACTATGTGGCCCTCCAAATGTTGTTGAGGTGTGACTCCCATTAGCCCTAGCCCCATAGCAAGTTGTGGTTGCATCCTGGTAAGATTTAGAGGATCACATTTACTTAGGTTATCCCTCATTGTCAGAGTATGATGGCCTTCCAAGGGTAGTGTCTTGGAGATGGATACATAGGTGACTGTAGAGCCCTATTCTTGACCTGCATGTTTTTCCACAGTGAGGGCATCAGTTTCCAGGTGGAAGGCGGTTTCGATCAGGGTTGGCTTGATGCACCTTCCTCTTGGCACATTTCTCCCGCTCCTCCATTCATGACTCTTCAGATTCCACAGCACTGCTGGTCACGGCTGACCTCCCGTTAGAGCATTCAATGGCCACACATTCCCCATCCAAAATTTTTTCAAACAGCCATATATATCTTGCATGTTTTCTTGGGTTGCAACAAGATAGCAGCTTTTTAAAAAGTGTGAGAAGAATTTGGCTCAAGCCTACTTTTGAATGCTTACTAAGACAATTATATTCAGTTTCTCACTATCTAGCTACCAACGATTAATTAAATGGCTTTGGGTTGACATGACAAGGCTTGATTTAAAAACAGATGTCTAAGTTCTCTGTTTTGTGAAGATTATGTCACTGGCTGACACCACATTATAGCCATTGGTGGCAGGATGTGTGGAGAAACTGGTACATTGTCATTATGATTTTCATTTACTGTTAAAGCGCGACAGTTCAACACATGACACTTTGAAATATAATTCCCTGTATCACAGTGGAATTCACTTGCATAGAAATGTGCTTAGTCTAAGAAGAGAGTGAAATAGTTCTGTGATTTTTTAAAAAGCAGTTTTGGTTAGAACTTCTCTGTGTTGTTGTTGCTATCGAGTCATAAAACACTGAAGAAGAGCACATTTTATTGGACATTTTCTTGAAAACAGAGAAATAAAACTTTTGCAGCAGAATTTCCAGTGAATTGCACCTTTGTAAAAAAATAAGATGGCTTGGGGAGTGATATCATCTTTTTATTTATTCACAGATCAGTGTTCTTCAATCTTGTGCCAGCCAGATGTGTTGTAATGCAATTCCTATCATCGCCATTGAATACCTGTGTTAGCTGGGGATGATATGATTTACATATCAAGAGGGTGCCAAGCTGGGGAAGGCTGACCTAGATAGCTTGTGATTTGGACATTGTCTAGTCACATATGGGGCATAATCCTTGGAAAAGTTCCTTTGAGCAAATCTGGTTACAGCATACAGAAGATGAGCAAGAAAACTACTGTGCTATGTGACTTGAATTTATTTTACTCAACTTGCACCGGAAAATGTTGCCACTAAATATGACTATGCCTTTGTCTCCTTACATAATGTCCTCACAAAACAATAATAGCCCAGTTATAAATCAGCTGAATTACTTTGTTATTTTTTGGGTGGAATGGGGAATGGTGTCTGAGGGAAGTGTGAGGACCAACAAACTCTTTACTAGAATATCATAGATGTGGATAAGATATCTAGCCTGAGCATAGGTCAGAATCAGGAGACAATGTAATTTGGATGCTTGAAATGCCTTAACATTTTGGATTCCTTTGTGCTGCTAAGACTTAAGATTTTATTGTTCTTCAATACATTGAGTTTTACATTTTACATCCAACATTCCTTTCAACCAGTCTTGCATCGTCTCATGTTCAACTAGTTTGGGGTTTCACCTACCTTTCTTGATCCATTGTACTCTTGTCATCAAAAAGCAACAAACTTATTTATCAGCTCTGATTGAGAATTCTAGGTAACATGGATTTATCATTGGATACTAATACTTGCTATGGTAGAAAACAAATGCTTACAATTAAAAATATTGACCAGTACATTTTTCTAGCACATCTGCTATAGATGTCAGGATAATATTACAGTAAGAGTTGTTCAATGTCATTGTTTGGACAACTCTTACTGGAATATTGTCCTGACATCTATAGTTAAACATGCTAACAAAATGTATTTCAGCTTTTTATAGCTATATGCAACTACAGATTGAACATTCTTTATCCAAAATTCTGCAAAATTGTCTAGATGGGTGGCAGAGATAGGATGGATGATCTTTACTTTCTGATGACTCAGGGTACACAAGATTTGTTTCATGCACAAAATTATTAAAAATATAGGGCATAAATTACCTTCAGCCTATATGTTTAAGTTATATATGAAACATAAATTATTGTTGTGTTTAGACTTTGGATCTGTTTCCAATATATCTCATTATGTACATGTTCCAAAATATAAACAAAATCCCAAATTCAAAAAGCTTCTGGTTCCAAGCATTTCTGATAAAGGATACTTAGCCTACATCTATGGTTAGAAGGACAGTGGGTTGGGATCTTGATGTCTAAGATGCATGATAGTTTAATTACCAGTAATGAAAATACTTACATTGCAAGAGCAAAAGCAGTGTAGCACTCCATCAAACAGACTTGCATGGAAATTGCAAATAGTTATGTTGTCAGGAATAAGAAGTTACATGCAGAGTAGGTATTGAGCATAGATGTGATTGCCTAAGGTGTAGCTTCACTGAAGACAGTGGAGAGTTGCTATCAAAGATCCATTGCCCAAAAGTTCAGAAGGTGACGCTTAAGGTCTTCTAGATTTTAATGTATTTTTCCACATTATTAAGTATTGTGGCCAGAAATCAGTGCAACACTTAACAGATGCGTAACTTGTTGCATTTGGGATATGGGTGAATGATTTTCTACTGCCTTCTGGCAACAAGTGAGGCTGTGACAGTCAGAAACAGGACCCTTGTTTCACTTCTATGAGACTTACTT